ACCTACTTGGCCCGACTAAGTTTTCTCGTGCCGGCGCCTCACGTATCATTCACCTATTTCCCTTCCTTCTTTTCTCTCTTTGCAGCGCGCATCCTTTGCCACTACTTTTCTTGGCGGTCCTTCTCCGTTTCGGGGAAAGGGTCGCCTTCGCCACCTTCTTGCGCGCCTCCGCCGCTCCCCGTTCCGTCAATTTTCTTCTTAGTTCATTGGTCTCAACGATCTTGGGCAGCTTCTACGTTCCTAGCGCCTATGCCTAAGCCTTGATCCTTTCATCCTTCTCGCCTCCGGTTTTCTCTGTCGTGCATAAATTAGCCATATACAGTCTCTCGAGTGACGGGAAGTCATCCGTGACTCACAAGTCCCGACACATTCCCCCCACTCATTCGCGATGTCCTCATCGCGCACCAATCCATAGTTAGTAGGAGTTTGGGGGATGTGGACGAAGGGAGAGAACGGACGTGGTAAGACAGGTAGTTAGCTTGCCAGGGTTCGTTTTGTTCTTCTCCCGTTTCTTTCCCAGGGATTTCTTTTTGGGTTTCCGCCCTTGGGGCGGAGAAGGGTATGGGGGAGTCAAATGTTCTTCTTCGGGCCTCTCTTTTCTTCCTACAACTTAGACCAGGTTGCTCATTTCCATCATAGCTCAGCCTCTTTATCTTTCCCTCAATCGAGACACGGACTTCCTCTTCAGTCAACTCTATATACCCAGCAGGGTAGCCCCTAATTATTTCGACTTCAGTAACATGAAGCAGACAAGGTTCTCCTTGCTTTATGCACTCACTACTGGCATGCTGACTTTTGTTCCCAAGATGACAATTTGCTGCCACAACCCAATTGGTTTTCTTATTATATGCCTTGGCATTGTTGATAACAAATTGTAGGCAAGTTTTCGGATGTGACTCAGTGTCAGGCATTTACTCCGGATGGGGATGTTCATCCAGTACAACCGTCGCCTTTGTTGTGGTGATGCCCGCTTCGAATCGATGAACACAGACACAACTCCCCCTAAGTGCTTCGTAATCTCAAATCTATCTTCCCATTTCATTGAGAAACATTATCGAGCAGAAACCATTTTGGCTCCGTCTCATTCATCACGATATTCTACTTTTCGGCCCGTGCAATCTATGTTTCCCTTTCATCCTTCCCCGAAGCTCAGGCTTTGCCAAATCCACATACATTTCCCTCGGGTCATTTGACCCGGCCTTTCTCAGGTCCTGCCAATTCCGCACGCGTATCACCCTTTTGTCCTTCCTTGCCTTTTGCTTGTCTTTCCATGTGCGGTACTCGGTTCGTCCTTTGTGCACTTCTTTTCTTGGGCACTTTGTCAGACCTTCTTCTCAAGCTTATTCAAACCAATTACTCATCCGTTTCCCAGCCTGACAGTCTTTTTCTCAGATCCGTACAAAGGTCATCATACGAGTCTTATTTTTTCTGGACGTCTTGCCCGACCCATTTTCAAGCTCGTGTCAAATCGATTTCACAATTTCTTTTCTCTTCTGGGCATCTTGCCAGACCCCCTTTTCTCAGACCCTTGCAAAGCCAATTACACAAGTCTTTTCCATCCTGGGCATCTTGCTAGGCCCCTTTTTCTCAGGCCCATGCAAAGTCAATTACACAAGTCTTTTCTGTTCTGGGCATCTTGCTAGGCCTCCTTTTCTCAGGCCCATGCAAAACCAATTACACAAGTCTTTTGCATGCATTTTCACTGGTAGATGACACACCTTCCCCCCACTCAAAACGCGATGTCCCCATCGCGCGACTGGTTCTCACTCGGAGGTACGCAGACCTTTGGCCCACCAACCGCAAGTCAAGGACACAAGCCCGTCCGCTTCACAAAAGGAAGAGTGATCAGTTCTTCCCCAGTGAACGACGCCTCATCCTCCTACTCGGTCCGACCTTTGTTCTCTCACGTGGCGAGCAATACTGAGGTTCCTCCTCACGTCTGGAAGGCAGGTCCAATCCAAGCCTTCCAGGGCCTCGTCTAGTTGTAAAAGCGTTCCTCACGAATCGTTCCTCCCGAGTGGTAATTTTATGGATCCGGCCTCTTCCTTTCAAGAGAGTTGGGGCTCTTAATTAGTTTGCGAGTGCAGTTACGAAGACCTCGCAATTAGTCACGAAACGGTTGTAATGTTCCGGCAGGGCAGTGTCAATGCCCCGTGGTGGTGACGGACTCCACCCGGTACCTTCGCCTGACCCCTCCCCTTGGACAGTGCCGCCCAACTTAATGCGGGCAGCCGAGGTCCGATCCAAACGGCCATGACACCCCTCTATGACATGGCGTGTGGTTGGAGAGTAGCAAAATAGACTAGATGAGAATGACTCTCTCGCCCATTTGGCTCTCTCGCCCTTTGACGTTTAGGCATTCAACAGGAGGCGCAGTTTGAACTCCCCAACTAAAACTCATTGTCGGAGGTGGTTCCGGACGTCCCACACCGATCCAAGTGGTAGGTGCCTTGGTCCTTTAACCCTCATCCTTTTGTAAGAGGAACATGTCGCGGTGAGACTTTTCCCTTTAAGGGATAGAGGTCTTGGGGTCGCGGTGCAAGCACCGATATCCCCCTCTTGTTGAGGTTAAAGACTAGAAGAAAAAAGAAATTTCATTTCAATGCTATTTCCATGCTCGGCCCGACGACCTTTCTTCCAAATTGCCTAGGGTCCCCTGTTTATGCAATGCAATTTGCAATACTCTATCCAATTCCAATACTCAACCTCATTCTAAGCTCAGTCTCATTCCAATGCTCAATCCAATTCCAATGCTCAATCTCATTCCAAGATTGAGTCCAATATCTTTTCCAAGGCTGAATCCAATATCTTTTCCAAGGCTCAACTCAATGTCTTTTTTAAAGCTCAGCTCAATGTCTTTTTCAAAGCTCAGCTCAATATCTCTTCCAAGGCTCAACTCTTCCTAGTTCCATGCCTCTTAAAAAGTCATGCAAGGGGACCCCAGTGCCAATTCCAAAGAATGACCCTTGTTAGGGGTCATTCCGAACAACCTGGTTAGGGTCGTTGTTTCCAATTCCAAGTCGAACAGCCTGGTTAGGGTCATTCTTATCCATTGCAATCGGATAACCTGGTTAGGGTCATCCTTATCCATTTCAATTGGACAGCTTGGTTAGGGTCATCCTTGTCCATTTCAATGTTAGCGCCCGAGGGGGTGGGCCTCGAGGACACGGATCCTGTTCTCGTCTCAGGGGTTAGAAGGTGGTCATCCTCTTCAAGTTTTTACGCATGCTTTCGCCCTTTGCCTCGTGCCCATCATCATTCTCATGTCCACCCATACACCCGACTTAGCGTCTAGTACTCAATTTGAGGCTTTCGGCCCCAAGCAGCACTAGCCCGCTCGGCTGTTCAACCACTGCAGATAATACTTGCCCAATCCATGTTTCCTTTTTCTAGCCTCTCATACCCCTTCATTGCTCTGGACTTGTCCAGGATAGGCTGAATTAGGCTCCTAGTGAAGAGGATTCTTCATGCCTCTTTACCCATAGGTCCCCTAACCTCTCGCAAAGACTCATGCGATGACTCATTCAACCAGGGATACACAATTCTCAAAAGAAAGACTCTTTGTCACCAACTTTTCTTCCAATCTTTAACCGTCCACGTTCCCTCGCCTGTCTCATAAGACAGAGTCAATTTTTCCCAGTCCTCTTCCTTCTACAAAAATGCTCATATTACCAAAGAAGCGATTACTTATACAAAGTAGCACTAGCTACTCATCCCTTGCTAACTTTCCCAGTTCAAGAAGTTGTTCTGTCGCAGTCCTTCAAAAAGCAGGAGACAAAGTTCGAATGCAAAGGATACCATTACAGACTTGTCTCATCTCGACCCCAATCCTTCATAGTCCCAGTCTTAAAACTCATCCGCCCACATGTCCTTCCGAAGAAACCACTATTATTGGAAAGTAGCACTCGTTACCCAGTCGTTGGTCCATCTTACTCAAAAAGTGTTTCATCGCAGTTCATTCGGAAAGAAAAAAAAAGGTTCAAATACGAAATTCAAAATGGCAGTTCCACCTGCCTGGGTATCAACCCTGCCCCAATTTCTAGTTGACCCCCATTATGCCTACTATCCCTTTACTGTCCAGCGGCCCTGCGCCGAGCGTCTCTTGCACGATCCTCAATCTTTTGCTGCATTTGTCTCTTTATTCCCTGCAATTGAAGGAGCGTCCCCTCTGAGAAGAAGGTTGTTGGGGATATGTCCTCTCCCCTGCTCAACTTTTCCTTCCCTTTCATTGCCCATTGGTATCGCAAGATACTGGCCCACTGATCAAACCAATCGTTGAAAGTTGGTCCAAATTCTCTTATCCATTTATCCTTCTCTTCACCCGGGTCCTCGTCTCTTTCCCGTACTTCCCTTGTGGGCACGGTTACTTCATCTTCCTCTTCCTCACTGCTGAGGTCTATGACCTTGATGGACTCCTCCCCCTCCATCCTCTGACTTCCCCCTAGGCTCCCCTCTTCCTCACTACTAGGGTCGTTGTCCGATGGGAGGACTATTGGTTCCCCCTCCCTGGGAGGTGACGGCCCCCGGATCCCTTGCTTTTTCCCCCCTCTGTTTATGACCAGATTGTGATCAAACCCCACATACAGCTTCCTCTTCCTGGAGCTTGATTCCCTGGCCTGTCTTGTCGGCTGTTGTTCATCAGGGCGGTTGATTGCGTTGCTGTCATTCTCGTTTTCAAACTTCATTTTGCCTTTTCTTGTTGTTTTCTTCTTGCCTGGTCCTGTTCATTCATAACAGTCACGACATTCCCTCATACACACGCATTCCCTCCCATTCCCGTTTGCAGGCTTGCAGGCGTCCCCAGAACCCTTGGTTGACCCCATATAAGCGGTAGTCCCATTATCCCCTCCCCAGAACCTTGGTACATTAACCAGTCACATAGGCACCCTATGCAGACCATCCCCCAAAATTGCCCCACAAAAACTATGGTACATTGTCCCATACTTCCAACCTCATTCACACCCAGCCTAGGCAGTCACCCCTTGTTCCACAGGAAAGGAGACACAAAACGAACGACGCCTGCAGTCATGATTACTCCCGCAGGGAGGTGGTATAGAATCGTAGCCAACTGCTTGCCTTTCAAGTTGTCAATTCCCCTATTTCCGTATTTTGAGCCTCCTGTAACCGTTGCTCCACCGGGTCCCTGCTCAAAAACCTGACCAGTCTTTGTCCCGGAAACGACCTTTTTATCCCAATGCCATCAAGATCCTCAAGTTCAAACGTGTTCAGACCCACCCGCTTTGCGACTCTGTAGGGGTCTTTGAACCTTTTCCCTAGTTGTCCCGACCATGTGCTTTCAAGTGCCGAGTTCCTAACTAGTACCTTCTCTCCCATCTGGAGCGGTTCCTTCCAGATGTTCTTTACCTGATCCCACCTTGCTTTGTCCTTCATTCGACTATCCATCACTCGTCCGACCACATTCTCCAAGGCTTCCTCATTTCTCACGACCTGTTGGCAACGTGCGATAATTAGTTCTTCTGTAGACATGTGCGGATTGTCCTCTAGCCTGTTCCAGGTGGGAACCAAGACTTCCACCGGAAAATCGATCTCCCTCCCATACCAGAGTTCTGCCGAAATGCATCCCGTCGTCCTTTTCGGCGTCATGTTCTCAGAGAAGACCGTCTGCTTAAGGTATTGAGGCCAGTTCCCCATGTCATCCACTGCCAACTTAACAATTGTGTTCTTCAAGGTCCGGTGTCCCCTTTCTACTGGTGCATTGGCCTCAGGGTGATATGGCTCGATGATCTTGATAGGTACGCACAGTGCCTTAAGCCTGCCCAACACCTCCTGGTTGACGAACTCCATTCCATTGTCCGCTACGAACCTACGCACAAAGGGGTGCCTAAGGTAGAAGTCTTCTATCCAATCGGCCACTCCCTTCCCCGTCTTTCTCTTAAGAGCTACTGCCTCCACGTAACCACTGAGATTGTCTCTTGCATCCAAGATATACCTGTATCCATCCGTTGATACAGGCATAACCACGAGGTCAAGGTGGACCAGGTGCCCCGACCCCAGTACCCGGGTAGGTCTAAGGGGCTCGAAGACACGTGCGAAACTCCTTTCCTGACATATCAAGCATGTTTGGCAATACGTAGCCACCATTCCTGCCATGCCTGGCCAGAAGTAAAGTGATGCGATTTTTGCAAGGGTCCCTTTTGACGACCTGTGCCCTCCGGCTAGCCCGTCGTGCATTGCCTAGATTATATCTAATTGCCTAGACCTTCCGCATACGACGCGTCTAGGCAACATTCCCTCTTCTTTCTTGAAGAGGTGGCCGTACCTCAAGACGTACTTTTCGGCTTCCTCCCTTGCCTTGGGGCTGACTTCCAAGGGTTGCTTGTTTCCTATGAGCAGCAGACCGATTTCTCTGAAGATGCTCTCATACATCTGTATGAGGAAAATTATCGTTCCTTCTGGTCGGTACCCTGTTCCATCTGAGCCTGATTCACTTGGTACGGCCTCTCCCTCTGCGCCCAGGTTTCCGCTGGGGTCATCACAACGTCCCGTCCCCCTTCAATGGTCATTGCCATCAGTTCTTCTTTCGGCCCCATCATTGCTCCCCACGAATCATTTTCCTCCCTGCATCTAAACGTGGTGACCGGTCCCTCCATGAGTTCCGCAACTACGGCGGGCGCGCCCTTTTCTAGAGTCTGAATTAGCAGTTGGTCCATTGTAGGGGCGGCGCCTACCATCTCGTTATCCACGACCAGGGTCCCTCCTTCGTATTCTAGGAAGGCGTCGATTGACTCGGCGTCCTCTATTCCTTCCAGCGTGATACACACCCTACTCAACCCATCCGCCCTGTTCCGAAGCCCCGCAATTCGCTCGACCTTGTAATCGAATTGCCAAATGAAGCCTATCCACCTCCCGACGGTTAGGTCTATAGGTTTGTAGTTCTTTAGTGCCCCAACAACGTTGGTCGGATCGATCCTCAAGATAAATCGCCTCCCGAACAGGTATGCCTGGAAGGTCTTAAGACAATGCAGGATAGCTAAGACCTCTTTCTTGAACTGTGAGTACCGCCGCTCTGCCGAATTCAACGTCCTACTCTCAAATCTGATCGGTCTTTCCTTGCCCTCCTCGCTTTTCTGTATCAATACCCCTCCTACTGCCAATGGTCCCCCATCTGTTTCTAAGATGAAGGGTCGTCCTACTTCGTCATTGAAGCAGGGCGCTGCTAAGGTAACCTGGTCGGAAGACAAGATGTCTTTGAGGGTCTGGGCTGCCGCTTCCCTATCCTCGGTCCATTCCAAAGTGCCTCCTTCCCTAATCATCGCGCGGATAGGCTCAACTATCTTTGCGAATCCCTTGATAAAGATACTCCAGAACCCGACAACGTCTAGGAAGGCTCGCACTTTCGTCGTGGTGCGCAGGGGCGTCGGCCATTGAGAGATCTTATCTGTCTTTGCCGGGTCCGGTTTCCTTCCATAGGCCCCACAGTGAAACCCCAGTATGGTTACTTCCGGGACGACCAGAATGCTCTTTGGTCCACTTGCGGTGATGTTATAAATCAGAAACCGTTGGAGTAGATCCTTAATATCCTGCAGGTGATCCCAGATAAACTTTCGTACTCCCGGCTCGACCTCCGTCTCATCTTTGTCTCGCGCGCCCTTTAGGGGATTATCGTCTATATATGGCTTCCATTTCTCCGGGAACGTGTCCCCTACTACGGCAAGCATCCTCCTTTGTGCTTCCACCACCACGTTTGTGAAACCCATAGGGGTCACTTGCATCTGCAACTGCCCTACCGGTGTGTGCATAGCGGTGTACGGTCTATCCCTCGCATCGAGTGACAGTTGGTCGTATCCTGAGTACAGATCTATTAAGGAGTAAATGTTTCACCCCGTGTGGGATTCTGCCAGTAAATCGGCCTGTGGGAGCGACCCCGCATCCCGGATTGTTACCGCGTTCAGCTTCTGCAAGTCCTGAATCCATCTGAGTGTCTTGTTTGACTTCCGAAAAACGAACCACTTATTCGCAAAGGGGGACGCGGTGGGTTCGGCTACGAACGAATCTATCTTAGCCCTAAGCAATTCAGCGACTTCCGCCGCTATTCCAAACTCGTAGGCAGACCCTTTGTCATTCCAGCACTCATGCTTAACCGTATGGATCCTAAGGGGGGAAATTAGTTTCGCATCCAACCGACCCTTCTGGTGGTCATTGGAAGTGAAGGCTAGATGAAACTCCTAGCACGTTCTTCTTATCAAATGAGTCTCGATCTCTGTTAGGAACCCATCTACCCCTATTTTCATGGTTTCTGCTACCTCATCCGGTATCCGATGCCCTTCCGTTGCTCGTCTTTCCCTTATTATCCGCAAAACTTCTTCTTCCTTCCCCATGGCCTCTACCCTTAACGTTTCTATTAGGATCGAGACCGACTTGGCCTTCTTGCCTACGGGTTTGTACTTTCGCACACTGCCTTCGAGGATCGTTCTCCTAAAAAATGAACGGTCGGAATCGGCCTTGCTACCTCCAGGACGCGGGGCTGAATGTTGACTAGCTTCCCGTTCAAACAGTAGCCCTTTCGGACCCCATCTTCAAATTTAGCAAGCGCTGCGAGGTCCACCCCCACCTTGTGGTACCTAATGGTTTTAACGAGTTGTAACAAGTCTGGGATTTCAAGCACCACTTCTGGTGTTTCGTTCCGGCCCTCCTGTGGTTTGGGCAGGCTGGCCCCAAGTTTGACTTCCGATTCTTTTTCTGTCACCATAACTTCCAGGGCCTCGTCCTCTTGCCTCCTCTTCTTCATAGGCAGACCCATCTTGATCCACTCCTTCTTGCTAAAGGCTTCCTCAATCATGATTTCCACCCTTTCCCTCATGCCTTCCATTCGTGCGAATGCCCCCTTTCGCGCACTCTCCTCGAACGTCGGGGACCAAGTTGCCAACTTGCCCTTCGGCGGATCCCCTTCGGTCCCAAGTAGTCAGAGGAGTTCTCCGCGGCCGGTCACTAGGTCCTCTATGTCTACCATGTATGTGCCGTCATGCAGATGCATACCTATCATCTCTACATTGGCACACCACGGTCTTTCGAGAATTATGTCATGGTCCATTTCGTCCATCACGGTCATCCTCTGGAAGGACCAGATTGACTCTTTGATCCCTGCCCTGACTGCGCATTTCGTAACGTACCCTGCAAAGGGAATCTCCCCGCCAGCGCCCCGGATACTCCCCATCACTTCCTTGTTCACGGTGCAGCCGGTGATTGTTGCAAAGTCTCGTCGTATGAGGGTAATTTCCGCACCGCCGTCCACTAATGCATCTGTGTGGTGGGTTCCGATTTGGACCTTCAACATTCCTACGGGCAAGGCATGGAAGCTAAGCTTCGTTCTTGGTGGCGCCCTCATGACTTCACCCCCTTCTCGGTCCGGTAGGCTTAGGCGGATGTCTGCAAAGGTCTTTTCCAGGTCCTCCAGATCCCCAGGAATCCTTTGGAGGTTGGAGACGCCTTGGGGTGTCTCTGCCTCTTCCGTCTCCTGCTTCGGTGGTTTTGGGGCCTCCTCTACCTCTACGCGCCTGCGCGTTAGCAACTGCCTGAGTCCTTTAAGCAGCCTTGGGCTGGCTTGCAACATGGTTTGGAAGGATACCGATACCATGGTACCCAGCAACTTGCTAAAGGTGTTGTCAATCTCTGACGAGGTCAAGATCGGGATTTGGTATCTGAACTTTTTTTTTGCCGCCGCAACTTTATCTATCGGCTCCTCTTCCCTTGCCTTCCCGTAGAACTTCTCCTGTTCTCCGGTCTAAGTTTCTTCCTGATCTGCGCCAGTCCCAGCAACCTCTTCCATTACCGTGTCTCGAATAAGTTTTTTTTCCGCACCGGCCCGCCGGGTGGTGATGTTTACCCTATCCTGCCCATTGCCCTCTAGGATGAAATTAGCCTGTGGTCCACGTCCCCTCGGCTGGTGCCAGACAATATCGGCTACTGGCTCTGCTTCAATGGCGGCTATATCCAAGTTATTCAAGATGATGACGGCACGCCGCATTCCTCCTGGCGAATTCCAATTTACGCGCTCTCCCTGGGGTCCGAGAATCTCACCCTTAAGGGACCTGCTGCATCTCTGTCTCATGATATCATGGTTGAGTCTTGGGCAAGTCCGTACGAAGTGTCCGACCATTGTGCAATAGCTGCATTGCTCATTGGACGGATCCCTCCTGCCATACCCCCGATTCGCCACCGCTGCCGGAACTACGGCCTTTTGGGGCGGGAGGGGGGGTCGGGACACCTGCGCCTGCATTACTAATAGCGCATTTTCCATTCTTTCCATCTTGCTGTCAACCCCGTGCACTCGTTCGTGCAAGCTCTCTATCCCCTTCTTGACCTTATCCCCTGTCYTCCCAGTCAAGTCTATAACCTCCCCTTCCTTRAGCAGGGCTAGCGTATCGGTCACCACTGTCTTTTCTGCGAGGTCTGTTACCGTGCTGAAGTCCACATCYCTAGTGTACTCGAACTTGCTAGTCTGCTGGTAAGCTGACAGAATCTTATCTTTGTCGAATTCGGAGAACTGCCTGAGAAAATACTTACTCATTATCCGGTCTGTTACCCCGGGAATTCGTAACGCTACTAAGGTAAAAGCTCTTAGGAAGTCGTTGTAAGTTGCATAGTTCTTCCTTTGGACTGCCGCCAACTCGGCTTCCGTTGCCATCTTCTCCGCCTTAAGGTACTTCCTCATCATCTCGTTCCTGGTTTCCTTTCAAGATCCACTAGTGGTGACAATGACCATAATGTCTCTACCCAGACTCAGTGACACATGCTACCCCAAATGGTCCATCTTCTCTTCCTCACCCCATTTCAGCAAGGCTGCCAAGTTCTCATAGTCTATCAAGAACTCCGTAATGTTTGCCTCATCAAAAGTGAGTTTTTTCTTGGCATCGGCCAGATACCCCTGATTCTTATTCAGAGCCCGGGTGAGGGTAGCTACTATTTTCTTAAGACCTCCCTCAGAGCTACCTGCTTCACCGGTCGGACTGGTCCCTTCTCCTTCCTTGCTATCCCCCTGCTTTTCCCCGGCCTTTGGCGTACCCTCAGGGTCGAACCATCCTAGCACTCTTTCTCTAAGACTCCAAAATCCGTCACAACCCTTTGCTACTTTTGGTGTGGCGGGCAGGCGACTAGCCCCGCTGTCCATAGAAGGTGGGGTCGTAGCCTTTTCTGCCTCCACGGCAGGAGTGTCCCCCTTCTCCTTTCCTTTCTTGCTGGGCGTTCCCTTATGACTGTTATCCTTCCCTCCGTGCCTGATTTCGCCCTGGCTGAGCCTACGTTCCTCTCGCGATCCTTCTCCCAGGGAGTCCCTTTCATTCTCAGCCATCATTTCCTCCATAAGCCTCGCTTTATATTTTGCGGTCCGTTTTTCTATCTCTGCCAGCTTGCGGCGGGCGTCCGAGACCTTCGTTTTCTTGGGCGTAGTCCCTTCTGAGTTTCGAGGACTCGATCTTCCATTGTCTCTTCCTTCCCTATTTTCCTGAGGTCCTCTTTTACTACCCCCGGCTTTCCCCGAACTTTCGTTTGTCGAAAAATCCTTCCCATCTCCCCTGGTTCCCTCTGGTTTCGCCGACTCTCGATCCTTTACCGAAACTTCGTTTGGTTCCGTACCCCTACCTGTGCCTTGACTTCCTTTACTTCGCAGTTCCTCAACCTCTTCTTCCGACGCCATCCCTTTACCTACCCTGTACATGAAAAAAAAAAAAAAATTGCGAAACGGCCAGTTGTTCATAGCTTCCCTAGTTCCCGGGCCCTACGATCCCCTTATTCTTACTTATTCCAATGCTTTCCCGTCTTATTTTGTCGGGACGACTCACCCCACGATTTCCTACAGGGCGCCGTTCCATCTGTCTTCTGTCGGAAGGCTTGCCGAGGTTTGACATTTTGTTACTGCCGTGCCCCGGTCCCTTAGGGCGGTGTCTGAGGCTAGGGGCTCTCCCCTCGGGGGTAGCCGTTTTGACTCCCTGACACCTGGACGCCCCAGTGCTTCTCAGCGCGGGTGGTCTTCCCAGTTCCCTCCTGCCACGATCTCAGGTGGGACGGAACTCCGACCACTGCTTCCTTGCTGACGGCTAGTTCCTCATTCCAATTTTTCACCTTCTCCTTTTTCCCTGGTGCTTCCCTTTCTTACGCCGGTCCCTCAGGTCTGTCTGACTCATCCGGTTCTTCGAACAGGTCAGCCACCCCGGCAAGGTAGTTTTCTCCCATCTCTATTTCCCTAACGACTATTGGTTCGTATTCCTCAAACGCCATGCGTGGTAATCTGAATATCAGGATTTCAATGAGTTCGAGTAGTTCACGGGCCTGATTTTCCCAAAACGGCCTGTGCCTAACTGACACATCGTAGAGCATCCCCGTCGTTTGCGGACGAAAGTAGTGGTTCCAGACTAGAGTCGATTCAACCAGGCTTCTTGTCGTTGAGAGGCTGCCAAATTCAAGTCCATCATGAAGCGAGGCACTCGGCACCACAGTCCCGTCATTGGGGCCTTAAACTCTCGCCATCCTCCTACCTCCACCCTCAGCCCCACGTTCCTTCTTCCTCTCACCTCCTGGCCTATCCGGTCCACTATCCTAGTAGCCCTTTGGAAGATTGGCAACAACCCATGCCCTAGTGCCAATTCCGTTCCTAACATGTGCCATCCGACCTCCGGCAGGTATACGGTTCCTGTTAACTTTAGGTCGATATACAGGTCATCCTCTGGTCCCCTATCGAACCTCATCCCACTCCACAAACATTCTACCATCATGAACGCCTGGTCCCTTCCCAAGGTCACGACTCTGCATTCAGTGTCAATTCCTCGGACCATGTAGCTTGCCGGGAGCGATACCTCCTATCCGCCTCCACTTTCTGTGGGTGGTCGAGGGTGCGTGGGCCATCGCGACATCCGTGCGCGTCTCATCGCCATTGTTGATTAGCGGTCCCCTGCACAGTTTTAAACAGCAAGCGAGTTTTGCTTATTCCATCCATTCTTCGTCCTCACCCGGACAACTCCCCGGTTCTTAACCTCAATACCTCTTTTCCTCTCTACTCCTTCCCCTTTTTCTTGCCTCTCCTACCGGCCTGTCTCTACTTCCATTGGCTCATACAGGCAGTACAGATCATCTAAGTAAGTCATTCCTCGACTTATTTCTCGTCGAACTACGCCCCATAGGACTCCATTGCTAACAACCGGAGCTCTTGGCCTGGTGGTAAACACAGCGCGCAGGACCCGCAGCACCTCATACCTCTGTTCACGGCTGAATGACCCCATGTCTAGAAAGACCCGATAATATTCTTGGTGAACTAACGCGTCCTCAAACGCCAGGTTGGCGAGGTCGCCCACAGCCCTTCTGACAAGCTCCACCCCGCCTAGCCTCTCTAGCAAAAATGGCGGTAAACTCATCCGAACGTTTTCACTGGGCAATTCAAAGCTCCCAACCATAGCTACCCTAAGGTTTGTCGTTATGTCATCAGCCTCCGGGTCGGCAAATTCGAACCCTGCCCGCCACACTAACTGCCACGCCCCTTCGAACATACTCCGTGGATCCTCCCCCGATGCCAACCGGACTCCGAACTCTCGCCATCCGCCCTCCGACACATACAACCGCCCTTCCGCACGCACATGCCCTCGCGGGTCCGGGTTCCACTCCCCATGCTCATCTGCACGCCACTCGACCCTTATTACCAAGTAAACCATATTCTCCATAAGTTCAACTCCGACCCAGTCCACCACCGGGTGCTAACCCTCATTTGCGGCTGGCAAACTAACTTCTACTCCACCCTCTACTTCCCTAGGTGGCTCAATGCGTAGGGGGCGATCTTCAAGAAACGTCCTTCTTCGTGCCATTGTGCGCCTACACTTGGTCTCCTTACCTCGCAGTTTGCAGTGAACCCTACAATGGCCAGACATCCCATTCCCTTATCTTAGCAATTTCCCCATACCTGCCTGGCCCTGCCGTTCTTCCCACTCTCAATCGAACCACAGTACCTCGAACAACTTAAACACATCATCTACATAGCAGGGTGTGGCAGCTACCTCGCGGTGGGACTTCCCAGGCTCTATCGCCATGGAAGGGCCCAAATTTCAGGGACGTTCTACAGAATTCCTCCGTTAGCCAAGCGCAATTCACGTGCACCCACCCCATAGTGCTGGCTACTTCCTCAACATGGTTGAAACCCCCAAACCAATCCGCTACGAACTCGGGTACCCAGGTCTTGATTCGTTGGCAGGGGGGCCTAAATTCCTTCCACCCTCCCATCACGACTCTACTACTGACCGCATCCTATCCTTTGTTAGCGAACCTCTCGCCAGCCTGTCGAGCCTTTGTCTCAGCATCCCCTAAAAGCCACATCGGGTTCTGCCTTGCCGCGAGTGTTATGCAAAACAGGTCCCAACCTTGTTCAGACAAAACAACCGTTCCGACCGAGTCCACCCTTCCTTTCGCAATCTCCTCCCATCCTTCCTCTTCCCTTAGCGGGTTCCAGACACGTTCTACCCATAGGTACGACAGGTCGGGCACAATTTCAGACCCTACCCAGTCACACGTGGTCCCTCTCCATTCATGATCTGCTGGTATAGACGTTTCTACTCGCCCTCTGATCCGGCTCGGTTCCCATCCATTGGGTGTGCAATCCCACAGTTCGTGCTTCCGGGCCATCGCTCCCAACCTGCACATAATCGACAACCCTTTCCTGGGTAAGCCCTCTCCCCCCTTTTCAGAAGTCCCAGTCCTCCATCTCGTCTCCATCCTCATCATCACTGAAATCTCCTTCCCTGTCTAAGAACAACTCTTTCAGTCCCTCTAAGAAGGTTTCACCCACCGCCACATTCCGGTAGATTATCCGCCAATGCACCGGGCTAGGAACAAAGACTTCATCCGTGCTGAGGAGGTTTAGTACCTCAGCTAATTCCTCTGCCCAGTTCCCTTCGAACGGACCGACTTCTACTGACAATCTAAATAAATCCTGTCAAGCACACTGGTACAGCCTCAGGTGTGTCATCGATTGGCATATCCGTTCCAGCCTATCCCTGGTCCCAAAGACAGCGTCCACCAGAAACGGGGGTAACACACACCTCATCGTCCTAAGGGGCCGCCTCATATTTCCCTTGTCCCCAAGTTCCACTCGCACCTTCATTTTGTCCATTTCCATTTCTGCCCGCTGACAGGCCGCCCATATCACTTCTCGTTCCGCTTGTCTAAACAGCTGTGTTGGTGTCATGCCCAATAACAATCCTATTATCACTACATTTTCCATCTCCTGGGACAGATAGACCCACCGTCGGGCTTCCATAGTTCCCCGAAATTCTAAGTCCATCAGGCTTGGTGAGAGTCTCGTCAGGCCGACCTTAGTCCAAGCTGTCTCTATCCAGAGGAACGCGTCCTTTTCATCTAGCATTACAGTTTCATAGGCTGGTTCCAAGTCCGTCCACGTTCCTTCCTCCGGGAGAACAACAGATACCCCTTCCCTTACGTCTATTGGCATTTCCGGCCCACTAGAATAGACATGAGATGAAAACCACCGCGCCATCTTGTTTTTCCGGCGCCCGTCCTGTTTTCACAATAGAGCACCACATGGCCCTTCGTGATCATATTGTCTCTCCTTTTCTTTTGACGAGAATGGTTTTCTGACCCCTCATCCGGGTCTTCCCTAGTATTCCCTACCCTTTCCCCTAACGTTGTTGCCCCATCACCCCTCAAATCGATCATCCTTAGCCGACATTGCTATCTCATGGTTCCTTTTCCTTCTGACCCCTATCCAGCCTTATCCTCATGTTCTCTCACTCGTGCAGGCTCAGACAGGGGGTAAGAATACACTAGAAGCTCAGCTCCCATCCCAACATCCCTCAGGCAAACTTTACAGAGGGAGGCACAGGAAAAAGAAAAACTCAAGCGATCATCGCACACAGGTCGGTCATCTCTTCACCGACCTTTTCCCAAAAGTGGTCTCTCCACTGTTGCTATCGGTAGAGTTTTATCCCTTACCTCAAGCACAGCTCAACCGTCGCGAGCTCGGTACCCAGACTCCAGTGGGGGGTTGCCCTCACCTTCTTGCCCATAATACCCCATCCCGACTTGCCGCTCGTGTACCCACCGTTAATCTCGGGAATCACACCGCACATCTCGGTAGGGCCATTGGAGCCAGCCGTCCAGGCATTCACTTCCATCGGTCCGACAAGGAACAACCTTTCCCAAACCAAACTACGAGAAGCTATTAATTGTCTTTGAGGCTCCGTCTTTGCTCGCATGCAGCGGTACTCCCTCCGCCAGTCCACAGGCTAGGCCCCGCCTAAAGAAACGTTTCACACCCCGCCCGACAGATCAATCGAGCCGAAGCCCGTCACCGCGCGGACGAGGATGCTACTAAGCACCCGACGTGACAAACTCCCGTTGGACAGCTCGGTGGCCTGACCCCCGCATACGAACAAACGGCAACCTGCAAAAAGGGAATGACGTTTGGCAACCCGCAGTGGCCGGTGCAGACCCCTCCTTTCCTTCCGAAAGGCAGGATGCTCAATATCCCCAACATGCAAACACAAGTCCCAAGTGGGACACACAGTACAAGTGCCTTTCCCTTGGTGCACCCAACGCTTCCTACCCATTGCTCACAGGTTTTCACTCAGGACACTGTGTGCCACTCACCCCTAACTTCCATACATAGTGCCCGGTTCCTTTTCGTGAGCATCTTCAAAGGTGAGCTAGTTTTCTTGGAGTCTAGCAACTCCCTTCATTCCCCTTATCTTCACTTGTGTGTCCGTTCATAGGGCAGGATTGTTCCTTCTCGATTACCCATTGTGTTCATATGTTGTTTCTTCAAACATTTAAGTGTGGTGCATGGAGCCCGCTGGGCTCCGAAGATAAGGAGAGGGCACCCGTGTCGGTCGGATCGCTCCGCCACGGGATTTTCATTGGAAATCGGACTGGCCCGGAATCCCAACCGCCCGCCAGGTAACCGGAGCCCTTCTTTGACACGAAGAGGAAGGGTCGACATGTGGCTTGCCCAAGGCTTCCCTGGTCTGACGAACATCAACCCGAAGGAAGGAGGACTAGAGTCACCTCCAAGGAAGATGGCTGATCAAGTGTGCGAGCATGCATGTTATTCCTCCAGGCCTGGCCTTGCCATGCGCCCAGCCACCCTCAAATCTGATTCACTCAAGGGATAGAGTATACACAAGTCCTCGTTCCTTCTTTTAATGTTTATGTTCACGGTCATGCGTCGGGCGCCCCCCTCGAGACCGTATGGGTCAGTTTAACCCAATACCCGACACCTCCACCATTTTTGTAGGGGCCGAACCCTGAAGGACTTTCGAGCCTTGGTCGACCCCACTGCGGGTCCCATTTGGCTCGACCCGCCCACGCTCACGCTAAGGGCGCGGGTCGTTCGTCCCAGGGGCACCCCCACCTAGTGCTATGAGATGGATGGGGATGGACCACTTGCGAGAGGGCTTTACATTGGGGGATGTAGCTCCGCTCTCGCGACAAGATGGTAGCTCTGTCGTCACTCGTGGCGTTTTCTCGATTCAATTAAGTCTGACCAGATAATTGCTCCTTCCAATACACAAGCAGTCCAAAGGGGTTCATTGAGGATCCGTCTTCTTGCCGTGCGCAGGCCAAGCGTCATCCATTGGGCCACACACCTTTTCACCAAGTCTAGTGGCTCAAGACAACCCCTACTACATCCTTGGGGTGGGGTGACTTCGCCCGGACCCCTAGCCGCTATATTTTTTTGCTTGAGCCGCTAGCATCGCATTCACCTATCTGAGACTGCCCTTAGTCTTTTCGGGTCTTTGTATTGCATCCAAGAGAGCCGCCCCATTCGTTCATCCCACAATGTCAGATCCCGTGGTCTATCATGCACTCAAGCTTTCAGTCACCAAGTCCTTCCCTCATCCATGACCCACGCAAAGCCCAAGTCCTTCCCTTGTCGGTTTTCCGGTGGATCCAGTGCCGCTCAACACCCATCCCACGCTACTCACCTGCACAACACCACACGAAGCATGAACCAAATACAATCCCCGTTGGGGTCAACACACCGCCCCCCTTCCCGCAAGCCTAAGTTTCCTTTGCCCTTCGATGATCCTTTGGTTGTCTTTCCCTTCCCTCAAGCAAACCATGCCTTCATCTTAGTCATGCTGTCGGGGAGGATGGTTGAGTCAAACTGACCTTGTCACAAAACTTCACTCCTTTCCGCTTTCCCAGATGCTCTCAAAAGTCCGGTACCTTTTCCTTCTTGGTGGCGCAAGGGACCGGCAACCCTCCCCTTGCCCTTGCTTTCCACCAAGTGAGGGTCAAGTTCTTTGTCGTTCGTTCCCTGGCAATGTAACAGGTGAGGGGAGAGGTTAGTCACATGCCATGGAGGGAAAGGGTGAGGGGAGAGTTAAGGGTCAAGGTCT